CAGTACTTCGCTAAGCCGCGGCGGCGACTGCCCCCACCCTGCGAGCCACATTGCGCCGTACAAATGAATTAAGCACTTTGAACTACGGAGAGATGAGAATTAACAGCGAATAAGAAACTGCTTGAAAATCTAAGCGAGGAACCAAAGGAGGTGAATTAAGAATTCCAATGATTTTGTCGTAGAACTACTGTACTTGTGACATTGTCTGCAATTACACGAAATTGCGCGCGCTTTCCAATTTCCTTCGCCTTTTTGGGTTTCCCCCAGTTTTGCAGTTTTCGTTTCCTCCTTATTTTTTCTATTCGAAGACTTGCTCACGAAATCAATTTGATCCGGAAGACAACGGCGATCTCCATCATTCCTTATAAGGGACCAACAATATTTTGATGGTTTCAAATTATTATGTGCGCTCACGTCGTATCCATGCCGCTGTGCTATACGTTAGTTCAGTTGTTCTTCTAGGATAACACTGAAGTCACACCGAAGCTACGCCAGCGGTGGATACGGATTCAAGATTGAATGTTTACAGTGTTACTGGCACGGTTTTATCAGAACTACGCTGGTGGTGCCAAATTTCGAGGTAAATTGTTACAATTCTTCTCAATCACTATGATCTTGGAGTGTAAATTACTGCTGGGCTGTCGCTATCCGAGAGCTTTGATGTCATAGTTCGTGGCGCCTAGAGTAGACCCTTATTTTGGCACGAGAGGATGCTCCAGGGTGGTGTGAAAGCGCAAGCGTGATTATTTGCGCGCTGTGAGAACTAGAATCGCTGTAGGCGGCACGAACTCTTGAACGAAAAGCTCCTTTCTTCCGTATGGCGACAATGTTGTATGTGTTATGCATTCTTTTTCACTGGGAAAAGTTCTGAATTCCCTTGATCTCCTTAATGCATAATCCTTTTTTAGAGACAAAGGCCGACACATCATTTGACGACGACTTTGATATCATGAGCAGCCCTGATGAGGTTTGCGTCCATCTGAATTCGTGCTTTGGGTTGTTTTGTTCGGCACATTTCCTCCAATTACATTAAAAATGTTGGCGCAATAGCGAAAATACGAACTGTCGACCAGTTTTCTCATGTCGAAACTGCAGCATCTTCAAATATGATTGTTGTCTTTTCGAGATTAGCATGTTTTGAGCGGAACGGCGAGCGGATCGGCGGAGGGTTGTGGATCCATGAGAAATATTCCCACTCCTCGCTTAATAATTCTTTCTACTCCCTTTCAAACTTCTCCGACTTGAACATCTCCCCAGAACTGCAAAATCCTTTCCAATTGCTCATCCGGTGCTACTTTAACACCGCGTGTTTTTCGCATTCCTACACCTATTTTGATTAAATAGTGCTGTCCAAAACTGTTTAAGCAATGATATCAGTGTTTCACCGTTCTTGACAATCAGTGTTCACTATTGGAGCTGTTGTTGACTTTAATCCTGTTTTGTAAGTCTTCATAGCCTCTCATTGTCGTGAAGCTTAACTACACTTGCCTTGATGGTCCTGCATGCATCGCATAGGATATTTGTCATTCCTTGATCACTTTACGATTGGCCGATGTCAGACTCTACGATTAGAGCGATTCGGTCAAATGTGAATCGCGCGACTCGCGCGACGGGTCGCACCCTCAGCGATCATACATGTACTCCCCAATATGAGAAACGCAATACATATTGCTTCCGAGAAAGATCCCGGAGTGTGGGGAGGCCTGCGATCATCAGGTCCCCGTTGGGCTACAAGGGCACAGCAAGCAGAGCTCGGAATCAACGTATCGGATCGAGGGGTGGCGCGCCAGCGATGCTGCCGACACACGGAGAATCGAGACTCTATCGAGGCGTGAAATGGAGCGCGATTTCGCGGTCATGATGGGAGTAATTGTGAGACCCGACGAGCTAACTACCGGTCGCGACAGTGAATCGCGGAGCGATCTCCGCCGCGTGCTCGCACATTTTGATCGAGGTCGCTCCAATTCGAAGTCTGACATCGGCCAATGAAAGCAGTGAGTGTATGAACTTTACAAAAAGCGAGCAGAATTGCCGAAAACTTTAAAGGTCCACTTCAAAATGGTTAGCCCTGATTGTCCACTCTTCTACATTTCGTCGACATTATATTCTAATAGCCACTGGGAGTCAACTAACCTAATTTTGTGCTCTTTAGTAGCAAAGACTAGAACCTGCGCTGTGTAAATGCTCACAGTTCGATCCGCCTCACGCCTGACTCATTCCAAACCATCGTCCGCAAACATTGAACACGAAGTTCGTATCTACAACCAATTTTATGGACTCTATAAGCAGCGACTGCTGGTCCTGCACGTGAGTTTTCGCTTTGACAATCAAAAATGCAATACACTTTATAGATTACATACGATTACATTATACTAGAGCATACATATATGAAGACATTATTTTCTCCATTTGCTTCATGTAACTAATCAGTTTTTTGAAACAGAATTGTGCTTCCCAAAAATTGCGATGAGAATAAGTTTATCACTATTAGATACAAAGCGATGAGCCATTCCGATCAATAATGAGCAGAATAGATATACTACAACTGAAACTAGAAGTCACCAATGACCATTTCTCTATCTATGTAGTACAAGGCATCTCCATCACAAATGATTGAAAACTTAAGTCGAAGTCGCGTGAGTATTAGACCACATTTAGAACCTGCGGACCGGCCTTCATTCTTCGATGCGAAAGGAAGGTTAAAATACGAGGCGTGGGCACGGCTTGGCGACATGCCGAGGGATGTAGCTATGAAAACGTAGGTAATTTCATCTCTTACGATTTTCACATTGACAATAGTACTCTGTGTTTAGTCCAAGTTGCGCTAACAAGATGGCTCATTCCTAGACTTGAGCGTTTCTTTTTTCAAAGGAGTCTTCTCTTTGTTATAGCGGCCTATAAATAGAGCACAAAATCGGAGCTTTTGCTACGCTTCTAGTAATGCCAAAAATCTATGAAAATGGTTCATGGCTTTGAAGACGCTGCCAAATTAATACGGCTTGAATCCTATTTCTCCTTTTCTAGGGCTGGACTTGGACCTTTCAACAACGCGAAAAGCTAGTCTTCAAACTCGATTAACTCATTGCGAGTACGAAGCTAGCAATCCCTCACTCTCGAGTGAGTACATTTAGCTAATGTCTGTGTAGAGGCGCCATTTCACAGCATACGAATCAGAGGTCATCCCGAAATTCGCTTAAAAAAAAAAAAAAAACATTGACATAAATAAAAATAATTATAGCGGCAACTGAGCGACACAGAATTGGCCCAGTATGGAGAATTATAGTTAAATTCTAATGAGAAAAACTAAACTAACTCACTAATTTTTTAGTGTATAAAGGTTGCAGATCGTTCCATGTTTCGTCGTGTGCGTTACCTACTGGTTCTTTCCATTTATGTACGTAACGAAGATGGTAAGCATGAATTTGGGCTGATCCATCATCACAGAACTCTCGCAAGGTTTCGGCATCCGACCAAGCCGGCCAGCTGTCATAGTTCGTTTTAACAAGTTTGTGATTTTGTTTGTAACGCGCCATAACTTTTGCTGGAAAATAGAGATAGCTCCCCAGCTCTTAAAAACGGTGCAACTATTTTTTTTTCAAAAAAGTCAAAAGTGTTACAACTGCGGTGTATATTTCGCTAGCAGCTCAAATTCGTATGTTTTCATATCATCAATTTCTATATCGAATTGGAATGCATGACACATTTCACCGTGGAACCAATAGCCGAGGAAAAGCTTCTTTGTACATTCTTAGTAATAGTATACAATATCAGAGACATCAACGCGAGAGAGTGAGAACATTGCTCTCGCAAATACTACCGATTCAAATTGGTATAAATCATACAATCATCATACTGCATTGAAACTTTTTGTATAATCAACGCAATTTCCTGAAGTTACGAGCATATCCACCTGCTCATTTTCTCAGTTTCTTTCTGTTCAAAGGAGAGGATACCCTCTGAAACACCGCCTCCTGACACGCTTGATGATTCATTATAACAGTTCCTATCACTTAGACGTATAGTTCACAAAAATAACATTAATCTTCAAATCAATTACTGATATGAGATCGGTCAAAATGAAAATCTACCCTCAACATACACTGTTCAACCCGCGATATTTTAAGACTTCCCCGCAGAAAAAAAAAGGTAGAGCTCTATCATTTATTTTCTCCCGTTAAAAGGATTACGGAAATCCACGGTGCGCCTTTTCTGAAAAGTTTAAGTAACTTCCAAAAAATCTCAAATCGCCTAAGCAGGGTATTTGGAACACAAGGTAAGCGGAGCGTGAATCCCGGGTTGCCGATTGTCAGTGCGGCAACAGACAAAACTAGGATTTTTGCAGGTCCTTTCGAGTGACGTCCTCCACTGTCAGTCCTGTGGTAAATACTCACCTCCAAGTTCCTCCAACCACCACCTAAAAAAAAACTCGAAAGATACGTGTCAACAGCGTAGCGGGTTGAGATCTCAAAGTTTTACAAGGTGAGCCCTCCCAATTCATATTCTACACCTTGATGGTCATACATCGATTCGATCATATTATTCAAGTAAATATAAATCACTCAAATGGCGCCTATAAATAAATGCGAAACCTTCGGAAAAAACCGTCCATCGTAAAGCCATCGGCTGTTATAAATTAAATCTTTTATATGAACTTCTGAACAATGGAAACGCCAGCCCGAAAACCAAGCAGCAAAAGATCCTGTACCCTTTGAAAACCGCGTGCTTCACATTCAACCACACGAGACTCAGCACTATTTCAATATCGGAGACTGAACGTCCAGAGTTCAAACCCAACAGAATCGTAACTGGGGATCTTCATCACAGTTAGTATAAAGGCAATAACTGGTAGTAGAACAGCAAAGTAGAAATAAACACACAGCTGAGCATTCAAATGCCTACCAGTAAAAAGTTGAGGGAACTTGATTGGTAGGATGACTGCTTCCTTGAGTGCTTCTTTTGCTGTTTCCAAACCAGCAATGTCACTCCACTTGATGTTCGGTTTTTCCATTACGATTGCACCCGATAACTTGTCCTAAATGAAGAGGAAATGGAAGGGATTGTATGACGGCTCAATGGGAAAAACATCAAATTTTTTGATTGCGCGCTTTCAATTTAATTATGATGATAGGATGATAGTTAGTGAAGTTGACAGTCAAAACAAAAAGAATGAACAAAAAGGTCAACGATGAACCAAGTTGAAAGGGCTGAAAGCTTGGCTTTGGATTGTGAATTTGAGCGCATAGTTGGTGGCTAGCTTAACTCCTGAAAGACAGTGTTCGGTAATGTTTTCCCAGACCTTGAAACTATAAGCTTACATAGGATTTGACCCAGAAACCACTAAAACCACTATCATGTTATGGCGCTTCAGCCTCTTTCAGAAGCTACAGGTTTAAACGGAGGAATTAACGATAAGAACGAAGGTCAAAGAAGGGAAAATTGCATAGTTGGGAGACAGGCGGACCTCCTGAGGGTGCTGACCGACGCGCAATTGGCAGCGAAAGATTTGACCTCGGCGATCTAGCATGGCTCACTCTTGGCGCGGTTGGCGGGGTACGCCCACCGACTATCAACCGCTGACCATAGGTCTAACCATAGGTCTATACGCGGCGAGTGATTAGATAAAAAAGAGCGTTAGTGTCGAGGGGCAGGAGGGCACAAAAATGAGAGTGAGTCGCATTGACGCGGAAATCGACAAGGAGGGTCCCATTTCTCGGGTTTTGGGCCGTTTCACAATGGTTTCTTTTTCCCTGCTCCACTGACACCTCTACCCTTATTTCCAATAAGCTAACTTTTCATAGTAAATTCTGCCTTTAAGTGCTTCCACGATTGATAAGTGATCAAAAGAGACGCGGCTAAAAGTCATACCACTTATTCCAACTCCTAAGTTCATAGAAAGAAGCTGTAATTCAACCGAAGCCTTTTGCCGGATGTGCTACATTCTAAAGGACCTAAGGACTAAAGCAAAGTGTAAAAGATACGCAC